TCATATTTTTTCAGACCTCTGTTTAGCAGGGCCTGTGTCATGTCTTCCTATTGAGTTCAGAGGTTAAAAGGAACACCAATAATTAGCTGTAATGAATTATTGCTCATTATGAATAGCCACTCCTAATTCTCCAGCCTCTCTGCTTCTTCGTATTTGTAGGAACCTTCAGACTAAGAACTGTTTTCTATCTCCTTCAATGACTCACCATCTGGGGTTTCTAACAAGTCACTTACCATACGTCTTTCTGATTGGATACCAGTAACAAATGGCAAACACATCAATAATGCAAATTTCAAAACAAACAGTTGTTTTGGATAAAGTACAATGCTAAGATACATGAAACACTAAGGACCCATGAACAATGCCACAACAGCCCTTCAACTACCTGCAATCTTGATGATGATGGTTAATTTCTCAGTCATTCTGCAGTCACTCCAAGAAGCCCAAGTCAGATCTGCACTCCAGTGTCTTAGGTGCAGAGTTAAAACACAGTAAATGACACGGAGTTTACAAGCTTAACACTGAATGGAACTCCTGATTCTACCAAATAGTTTAAAACTATTGAAATTACTTAAACAACAACTGTACACAGATGATGGCCAGTCCCCTCCAACTATTATTGAGCAACAGAAAAGGTTTAGCCATAGAATGTGGGTGCAAAATAGCCAAAACTGCTAAGAAAAACACATTCCTTATATGAGAAAATACAAGTTTCTTCTCTCAGGCTCTCTTTTTTTTCTTTCTTTTTTCAAAGTATGAATGCAGTATCTCTAGGTGTCAGTTACTAAAGCCCTAGTCCGTGTAGGAATGGCTCAGATGAATATATCAGAGGACAGCATACTTGCTTCTCAACTCTGCAAAACCAAAACTCATACCAAGGCTTCATGCTGGGATTCTTTCTAAGGTTATTTCAGCCTCGAGAAAAGCCTAGAGGTTCACACCACAAAGACAACCCAATCCATCGCTGTCCACTGCATTTTGAGGTTTCCTACAAAGTCTGTGACAGAAAAGTTGGGAAAATTTCCAATTCTTAGAAACTTTTCCAGTTATTCTGACAACTTTCCAAAACTAACCTTGGTGTCTCACAGCTTGGCCTGCCAGAGGGGAGAGCGTGGATCTCACCAGCACACCCGGCTGCCCACTGCTCGCAAATTTGGCTACTGAGTGCAATGGGGAACACAGGCTGCTCACCCCACACTGTCCCGGTGGGACTGGCAACTAACTGTCTCTGTGACACCCTCAGGAGAGCATCACCCTGTGGGCACTCACTTCTTGCTGAGCTCTTAAAAAATCTGTGATGGCTACAAACAAATACAAGAGCAACGATTATGTTCCAACTGCAACGATGTGAACGTAAAAGCACTACAGTAAGGGCAAAGTAATGACCATGTTCACCATTGTGAGTCTCTTGCACATTATTTCTAGAGATCAGCCAGAGTGAAATCCTCTATATGAGAGCACAACCCAAACTTCAGATTAAATTGTGAGCTGAGACTTTTGAGACTTGCAGATGAGGCTCCTTCCTTATCACTTGCTGCGGTGTGAAGACTCAGCAGTTCTGTACTGCACCTGGCCTGACCTCTTTTTTTTTCCCCCCACTGATTTATTTAGCCTTCTGCTCTCTTCCTAGGCTGTGACTGTCAGTTTGTATCACAGATACCAGCAATTCTCACTGGTCACATTCCATGGAATTGTGTGTACCTTGCCTGGTTTCTATAAGGTCCAAGGATAAAGTCCTGTCCCTTAGAAATGATTTTTAGCCTCAGTTTAAGCCAAGAGCTGAGATTAAAATTCAGCTTGAGAACAGAAGGTCTGGCATTATTTTGCATTTCTGAATAAAAGGTTTCCACTGTTCTAGTTATTTACTCTCCTCTGTGGAGCACCCAGTGCTGACTAGGCAAAGGCTATCCATTAAAGGCTGTCTCTCCTCTCAGCTTAAAGAGAAGTTCCCTCTCTTTGATGGGAAGAAGGTAGGAGAAATTAATTTTTCTTTCAGCATCACCACACCTGGGGACAGGATCTTGCTCACAGATAACAGTGCAAGCAAATATTTTCTTTGGGAGAAAAAGAGAAAGTGAAGATCAAGGTCAGAGGAGGCAAAAGTAAAGATATGTGACTGCCTTCAAAATCATTTTCCATAGAAGATGTTGGGGAGTTATTTTATTTAATATGGAAAACATGCAAAAGTGTAAAGGAGGGTTTGCAGGGAGATAAAGGGGTTGCAAAGTCTGGTTGCACAGATATGCTGAATTCCAGCTGTACAGAAGGAGACAAACAGGTTGAGAGAGATTGCATTTACCTCTACATATACATATATATATATATATATATAATACACACACACACACGTAGGAGCACAGCCCAACACTTCTGTCCCTCACTTCCCTGAAGCATCTTCCCTCCTTCCTGCTTATGGAGTATAAAGACTAACACAAGGTGCTAATGGAAAACTCATCTTGCCTTTGCCTCTACCACATAACCACAAACCCAAGCAGAGTTTCAGTGAGTTTGCTGCATCCCAAGGCATGGCCCAGCAGAAGCCTGGACAAGCAGCATCAGCCTACAACTCTGCATGACCCCCCCAGAGGATCCATATCAGAGGATATGGATTACAGGCATATTCGGACAAAAAATATACCCCACTTTTCAAGATTTCAAACACGTGCTGAAATCTTCAATCAGGCTGAAGCGTGTCCAGAGAAGGGCAACGGAGCTGGGGAAGGGTCTGGAGCACAAGTGTGATGAGTTCACGGCTGAGGGAACTGGGGTTGTTGAGCCTGGAGAAAAGGAGGCTGAGGGGAGACCTTCTGGCTCTGTCCAAGTCCCTGAAAGGAGGGTGGAGAGAGGTGGGTTTGGGTCTGTTCAACCAAGGACCAAGTGACAGGACAAGAGGAAATGGTCTCAAGTTGCACCAAGGGCAGTTGAGATTGGTTGTGAGGAATAATTGCTGAAAGGGTTCTCAGGCATTGGAAGGGGTTGCCCAGGGCAGTGGTGGAGTCACCATTCCTGAAAGTATTTAAAAGATGAGTAGATGTGGCACTTGGATTAGTGGTGGACTCAGCAGTGTCAGGTTTACGGTTGGACTTGATGATCTTAAAAGTCTTTTCCAACCAAAACGATTCTATGATCCTATGCTTAGGAATCTGTGTCTTTGACTCCTCACCCAGTGACTAAAAACTTCATTTCAGTTTTCCGAGCATCTCTGAAGCTCACTGGCAGGATTTTCCCTGTGCTCCTGGGAAAGACACAGCTGACCTGAGGCCAGCTAGACCAGAGGGTTTGGTTAGGGTTTGGTTGGGAGCCTGGTGCTCCGGGAGCACTTGTTTCTGTCTACTGATCACAGGTAGAGCCCAGAAAGACTAACATAAAATTCATGTCTGCTTTTTAGCTGGCTATGTAACTAGGTGAGACACACAGACAGGTACAGTAATGTTACCCTGTGTGATCTATTCAATGACACACAGGAACATTGTCATTAAACCCTGGCTACTGATTTAATTATTAGGACACCCTTTCACTACAGCTGATTAGAAGCTAGAAATCACCCACAAAGTCACGATAAAAGACAAGGAAATAGAGCTCGGAATGCAAGTTATGTTTTGGGCTTTTTTTTTTTCTTTCACATTTTGTTACAAACTCAAAACTGGACCTGTTTCTGTGGGAACTTATGCTAAGGTATGCAAATATTTCAAACCAAACCAGTCCCATTTTCCAATAAGAGTGGGCCAGGTTTCAGGCAAAGATGCTTTCACAGCAAAACTATGGGAAAATTCACCATTTTCCCTGTTTCCAACATGCCAATATACATCTCACCTTAAATGCCAGCAATTGTTGGAACAAGGCTACAACCCAAGAAAGCACTTAAGCACATGCTTAACTTTCAGCACATGAGTAACCTCAGTGATGTCCTGGGTTTTGTTTTTATATTCGCTATTGTTAGTTACCTTGAATTTTTAAATCCGTAGGGACGTTTTTGCATCTTGTGAGCTACATAATTGGGCCATGAAAGGAATGGTAGCTCATGATTACTGAATTGTTAATTAATCATTTTTATTATATTTAAATATGCTTTAGAAGCCCATAATGATGTATGCTTCCTTGATATTAGCTGTACTAATTAGATCAGCTTTTCTAAATTAGAGTGCAGTTTTCTTAGCAGGTTTCCTTTTATCTGGTGTTCATTTTTCAAAAGAGCTTCATGTTGTTCCCACAGATGAGTGAATCATTTCCAGGGAATCATGTTATGCAAAAGATGTTTTTTCTTGCTGCTGCAGAATGCCTGCGGGTAGATCATGGATCTTCTTGAAATCGTTAAATATTTTGAAATTGGACTTTCCTCAACAATCATGCATTCCTTGACTAGTTGAGCATAACTGCATCTGGGATGAAACTCAGTCCCTTCAAGGAACTAGTGCATTTGGCACATTTGCTGTGTTAGAACAGCACCACTCCAACACAATTTGTTTTAGTGACACATGAAAGCAGAAAATGAAAGTGGCTGAAATACATATCTATACCTGAACATGCAGGTGGATTTTTTTTTGATCCTTTCTTTAGCAGCTAATTGGTGTTCCAGCACTGAAAGCCATCCTATATCCTTCTCCACTACTTTTTGAAAAGATTTCTAAGGAAATTATGACCATGTTAGTCCAGAGGTCCTCACTCAGGTTATCTTAAACATTTAACTTACCATAGCTTAGGTAGTTTGCAATATCATTTCTGGTTCAGGAAAACCTGAATTTCGTGCCTCTCTGCACAACTAGTCCAGAAATTTATCAAAAACTACCTGTGAAATCTCTGGCTATTTCACCTCAGTGTGATGCTCCTGATTCCAGAGAAGAACTCTGAGAATATTCTGTCTTGGTGATACTTGGAATGTCTATCTAGTTAAAAATCCTAACAATTAATTGTGATGCTGGATGAGCATCACAGGATGAGAAGAACAGGTTATTGTTTTTCTCTGAACAAGACTATTCAGCTCTCTGGAAAGAAGTACTTACGTGTCGATGAATCTCCTGCTGAGGTTTGAGATGACAACTGGAGATCCAGACTGGAAAGGAGGGTCCCGAACCACTTTGTATTGGATGGGTTTGCAGTCTGCACACAGCGTGCTGTGGGGGACAGAGCTCAGCATGGCAGCATCAATTTCCAGGTGCTCATCCAGAGTGTAGATCTGGATCCCATACACCTCCTCACCCACTTGTCCCGCATCCAGCTTTATGGTCAATGGGATGTCACAGAAGACATTCTGCGGACCGAGAGAAATGTTTTTTCCGCTGATGGTGAGCAACTTGATGTCATTCACTGCTCCGCTGGAGTCCCAGTCTGGGGAAACAAATGTCACCCAGACTGTGAGGGACTCTGGAGTCAGAGGATAACGAAACTCCAGCTGCAGGTAGCAGCCTTGAGGCTCAGGACAGGCTGGGGGCACCGTGTGTTGGTTGACTGCTGAGTTGGGACTCCATGTTCTGACACTGGATTTACAAGGCTGCTCAACATCAGGGTGCCCTGGAAAGAAAGAAGGAAGCAAACACAGGACACAAAAGAAGTTAGAGAACATGGGTTATCATTAGCATCAGTCTTGAAAGACAAACTGGTGTCAGGAGAGCATTTCTGGCCAGGAAACTAATTATTTACTTGAGCAGAACAGTCATGGCCAGCATGGAGAGGAGGAATACAGCGTCAACATCTCTTGGCTGGGTGAGATGCAAACTCAGTTTAAGTGCCCAGCTGGACACCACACAGCACACGTTGTGCCAGTGTGTCTGGTCCTGTATTTCCTATTGCTAGTGCCTTCCCCTGTGACAAACAATGGTATTTTCTACCCCTTCCACTTGGCCCTTTACCCAATAAACAGAGTCCCTTTGCCTTCAGTTCACCTCTGTGCTCCTGCTTACTCCCTTGTTTGTCTATTTAAAATACAACCTTTTACTCTTTGTCTTTAATAAAGAAAAGAGCTTTTATTGATTCCAAGAAGTCGTTGCAGCTGTTGCTGTTGAGGGGCAGCTCCTAAGCCATTTACAGGCTAATCTAGCACGTTGTGTAAGACTCGGGTTTTTGGAGACACATGGAACACAGGTCTGAGCTGTCTCTTTGCGCTCATCATGATGAAACAACAGGCAGTTGTACTTTTACATTTATCATCGTTGGCTCTGATCAACTACATGGGAGGTATTACTGAAAACTAATGAAAGTCACAATGCTCGCTGGGTTCCCAAATACTACGGTAACATTACAATTTGGCATGGAGTCATGGACTGCAAGATCCAGAGAGGTCAAATGGGTGGAACAGTTGGTAACAGAATCCAGTGAGAGCTATAAATTCCCTCTTCCTTCCCAAATAATCATACAAAAAGGGAGCAAATGGGAGAGGAAGAAGGCAAAGTACAGAAAAGAAGAAAGGGGAAAATAAAGATAAAGAAAGGTAATGAGATGAGAGAAATAGAGAAGGCAGAGGGAAAAAAAAGAGGACAGCTGTTCACAACTGAGGAAGAAAGCAAGATAAAGCACTGGGCAAACGTGAACAAGCAGGACATCACTGCTAATTTAAAGAGAAAAGGGCAATGTGTGAAGGTTATTCTTATTGTCTGTGATCCAATGAGTGTTAGAAATGTGCCTCTTTTGTCAAGGATAAACAGCACAGGGAATTCTCTCATTCATACCAAATGAGCCCAGATGCAGAATAGATTTCCTGGTACCTCGGGCAGTCCTCCCCATGATCCAACACAATTGTCTTCCAGATTTTAAGGCTTCTCCCTCACCCACACATACCCCATAGCCCTTCTCTCCTCCTCACATGCCAGAGAGCAGCGGGAATGCCACTAACCTCAGCATCTGGAGAAACCACAGCAGCCATCTATTCTGAGAAAGCCAGAGTTCCATTTAACACGCTCAAGGTTTTTTTTTCCCCCCCTGGCAAGCTTGCAAGTACTGTGTATAATCATTTTGAGTAGTGAGCACTCCATTCAACTCACATTATCTCACAACATTCGCTGCCGTCTGCATGTGCTTGGTTGGGCCCTCCGATGACTTTCTCGCAGACTCACAGAGAGCTCTTGACTGCAGCCCTAAGAAGGTGTTTTTTAAGCCTAGTATCTCAGAGAGTTTTGGAAAGATTTGTGTATCTTATCGCTGCCATCTCACAGATAGGAAAATTCAGTTGATTAATGGCTCACGGCCTAGTACGTATTCAAATGTGGCCTCCACTTGGGTTCCTGCAAATTCACCTCTGCCAGTTCAAGGCCTCGGTAAGACTTAAATAGTGAATAAACTTACATGTTTTGGTAGATCAAGGTGTGATCCCACACGTTAGATGAATTGAACTCAGCCTCCAGGGAGTTTAATGCAGACCATTACCCCAAAATCAGCTAGAAACCTCAAGTTAAGCTGAAGAGTCTCCTTCTTAAATATCATCAGACACTTAGAGCTGGGTAGGAAACATTCATTTGAGGAAAAGGATGGAAAGTGTATTCCATGTAACTCTATAGATTTCTAGAGATGGGTAAATACTATGAAAATTACAAATATTTGTATAGAAAAAATAATGGTGTAGTAGTCATTCTGCCCCTGTGCACCCAGGTTCTGTAATCCTTTAAGCCTATGAGAGCATTAGCAAGATTGGTCATAGAACAGCACCTCATACATCATACCTTGCCTAACACAAACCAAAAGTGAATGTGAGGTTTGTGAGAAGTAGTCAAATCCTATCTCCTAGTAAAAGAGCAAGGATGGTAGGCTTGGAGGGAGGCTTCCCCCAAAACATAAGTCATGGCCACAGCCTAGTGCATCATGCAGTTAAGTGAAGTGGTGGGATGAATGCCCCTCCGTTGTCCCAGTGCATTGTCAGAGACTTGACACACTTGGATGGGGAGGCCAGATGGGATTGGCAGCCTCTTGGGATGCAGCTGATGTCACAACTACAACTCACCTGCCATATTTCTTATGTGGTCAAGACAAAGGGACCATCCAGTGGGACTCCAATGTCCAAATGAGACAATTCCACTTGCAAATACAGAATGAATTGCTCTAGAATTAAATACTTGCCACTGAGAAAGGCAGGGCATGAGAGCAGCCTAAGGCAGTAAGACTTTTCATCATATTCTCACACTTCTTTTAGTCACTAGTGAGCCAGGCAGTAGGAATTGACTGATAAATGCATATATTGCACAGTAAGCAAGTACTTACTTGGGTTCGAGCCAAGATCACCTTTCATACATAAAAAAACCCCTTTGACCAAGTTGTGGAGGTGCTGTAAGGTTTGTTTATCTGGCTGGTGTTTCTGGTCAGAATCCAGGTAGGTTAGAGCTTTCTTGCTCTATGGTGAAGGTAAAGAGTAAACCAGAACTGCCTGATCTCCAATGCCTTCCCGCAGCTGCTGCCCAGGAGCAAACAGCCACTCATGCAAGGGGCACAACTGACTAAGAAAGAATCACAAAGTATCTCAGCCCAGGGGGTTGGACCCCACAACACTCGGGCACAAGCAGGACACTAGGAAGGACACAGTCCCCACAGCAGAGTTTTGCAATGGGCACAGCTCACATGTAGTCCAGACCACATCTGGTGTCTGCTACCTGGGGTAACTGTGCAGCATATCAACACTAAAAGACCTCAGGAAAATGAAATCAGACCAACCAAGTTCAGAGCCACCTGAGAAATGTGGTTTTCTGGTAAGAAGCTGGATGGCTACTATGAAACATTTTCCATGAGCGTCATCTCAAATTCTAAAATGAGTTCATTTTGGCCATGCTTATACCTTTTTTGTATTCACTTTCCGTGAACATCGAAGCAGTGGAGATTTACACACATGAACGCTTGCAGAAAGCGAATTTAAAGCTTGCATGCTTGAGTACTCACAGATAGACAATTAAAGAAGCCAGACAATGACCTAACTGTGCTATTTGTAACTCAGACCAAGTGCAAATAGGCAGAGATCCTGAATGTCAGGGAGTGTGGTAGTGATGACAGAAAATTACAGAGCAACAAATACTATACACTTGGTATATTTTCTACCCTAAAGTGGAGAAAACTTCTTAACATAGTAAAGAGGATTGGATTCCCAAATTTTCTTTCCAGAGCAATGGCACAACAGCAAGTGAATGAGACAGATAAGGATCAGACTGCACCCTTCATAGTTAAGAACATGCAGGCACACACTGTAAGAAGAGGAAATTAAATGCAAAATGCAGCTGAGTAATAAATCTTAAGAGTAGCTTAGTTTCTCTAGGAATGATGCCGCTGGCAAGACGTGTGAGATCTAGAAGTTTTCAAATCAGAGCTCGTTAGAGAAATTTTGATGGAATTGCGTATCTCAATGGAATATGCAGTTCTTTCAAAATCAAAACACTTTGCAAAATTGGGTTTATTTGGCCAAAATTTTATACTGGAAGAGAAAACGAGAAGAAAGTTCTAACAATATTGGAACATTGTGTTTTGACTCTTTGGAAGAAATTGTTTCACTTTTGCACTTTGAAACAATTTTCATTTTTTTTATTAAACGTTGCTTTTGCCCTAGATTCTATACTAAAAGGGGATATTTTCAAATGTCATAATTTAACCAAAGCTCATGAAAGAGGAATTATATGAGCTAAACAAAACATTTTGGCCAGCCTCAAACACTTTTTGTTTTTAATTTTCCTTCATGGAGAATTTAAAAAGTTTCAGGTTTTGTTCCAAACGAAACTAGGTTTCAAAGTCTTGTAATCCTTGGCTAAATGGAAATTCCACCTTCCACCCTGCACTACTACTGCAAGGGATCCAAACTTTGCTAATCCTGTTTACTTGATAATCCAGTTACACTTGTAGCTGCAGCGCTGCTTCCCAGGACGGAGCTCTTGAACAACATCCACCCAAGGGGCAGGTGCGCTGTGTTGTGCCCAGCAGCCTTGGCCCTTGGGTGTCCAAACTGGGGGGAGTGAGTTGGAGTGAACCACAACCTCTGTTGGGCCCCCACCCTGGGAGATGGGTGTGTGGAGCAGAGGACACTTGCCCATACATCTTGTCCCCTGATGCAGCAGGGATGAAGCTCACTGCACACGCTGACCGTAGGACTATGGAGGACTCTGGGGTGTCAACACTGCAGAGATCAACATATTTACTTACAAATAATTTTCCTTGCAGAGTACCTCCCACGTATTCTAGCTGCAGGACAGAGAAGCCCTCAATGTAAGGAAGTATTTCTACAATGAGTTTGCAAAATCCAGGGACTCATCTTTGAGTTCAATGAGCCCACCTATGAGTTTTCAGTGAAATCTGGGTCCAAAGTGTGTTGCTCCCAAAGAAATAGCTCATGATGGACAGATTGAAATAATATTCTGCTCTTTCCAAACCATAATTTGTGTTTACTGACCTCTGCCTGGTATAATCTTAAATATGCTCTACCACATCCACCTACTTGTAATGGAAGGTACATACGGAGGAGATCTAATGGCATTGTATGACCAGCTCTGAAGACTATTCTTCCTCCAACATGCTCTAAAGAGAAGCAGTAAGAATGACTTGCAAAACACCCTGAACTAGACTGGGCTTGATGTAGCCATCTGTGTTCATGCTGCAGAGTACTTGCCCAAAGGGTAATCTCCACTCCTTTCAGCATGTCTGCTGGTGCAGCCTGCTACTATTCAACGCGAGGGCAGCAGAAATCAGACCCAAATAAATAACATGCCATTCTTCACTTTTGGAATTGGAGTAGAAGGAGTAAACAGCTCCCCTGAGGAATTTGTCTGGCAGATGTGAATGGTCAGCATTTCTTGGCACTCTACTGCTTTTTGAAATTCAGGTTCAGCTCCCGGAATTCATTTAATTCATGGGCAGAGTCAGGACACGGGGGCCAAAACACAGGTATTCCAGCCAGTGGCATTACTGTGGGGCACAGTGTATTCATCTGTCTTCTAGTTTCGTTCATGCTACATAGGGGTAAAATCAGTCATTCTCTCCCAGATTTTCCCCACTTTCTTTGTGTCTTTCCTTTTGCTCTGGCCCAACTTCTCCCCCACCATGTCTTTGTCCCCAGCCCTTTGGACTCACCTTCTGCTTCCCGTGGGCTCCAGTGCCCAGAAGGATCACAGGGCATCGGGGAAGAGGCACTGAAGGCGTATTGCACCAGGACTCTTCCTTCTGCACACAGATCACATGCTGATCCCACTTCTCTAGGAGGCCAGGAAAACAGGAAAACACACCAACTTAGTAACAGCTGAATGAGCTGCTTATTCAACTATATTAAAAGCAATAAGACTTAGAATTCAGTTCCACTTAACCCTCTTTTCTCAAGGTACTGACAAGAGTGTTTTCTGACACTGACTTTCCATAGGTTTGGCCTGCATAGATGGCATTTGTGAGTCCACCATCCAACACAAAATGACAGCAACCTGTGAAATCATACTCAGATATATA